TTTTTTTGCATATTTTGAGAACTCTTGTTGATTGCATTTTATAGAGCTTGTAAAGCACAAGACTGGTGGTGGTGTCCCCCTTTTTTTGGTTTTCCATACAAATCTGCTTACTCCAGCTGGTGGTACAATATCCGGAGGTGGTATCGCCTCTCCAATCCTCTAGTAAAATGTGTGAATTTTGGATTAATCATTTCAGAATGAAATTCAGTGATGAATAACACACAGTGCTTCATTCCAGGTTGATGTCATTGTCAATACCACTCACCAGTCCTTGAACCTTAGCAATGGGGCAGTGTCCAAGTCCATCCTGATGACTGCTGGCCCTCAGATTCAACAGGAGTGCAGTAACAAGTATCCTGGGGGAGTCAGATTTGGTGATGTGGCCCCTACAAGAGGATATGGCAGGCTACAGTGCAAAATGGTGTATCATGGAGCTTGCTGTAACTATGATGGTGGGAAGGGACAGAGCGAACAGGTACATTCTTTTTATTCACATGTTTAACATTTATATGTTTTGATCTTAGCTACATGGTATAAGAAACTGTGCTATAGCTTTTACTTGATAGGGGATTTTTGGGGATAACTAAACAAATTATTGTTGATATCTCTTTTAAAAGTTTATTTACATGTACCAGTATATGGAATGGGATCCCTCCATTCAGATTCCACAACCTTGATAGAACTACAATAGCTGGAACCACTTTATTTCAAACACAGAAGCATCTTAATTGTGGGTACCTTGGATAAGTTTGCGAATATTCAGTGCCTAGGTCACTATATCCAGTTTAGTGTTTTAATGCAGCATATAATGAGCAGTGTATTAAACTTCATGTCATTTTACGAGGAGACGGTGCCTTTTCCCATCAAATATTGTATATTCAGCATTACAGTGTACTGTACATCTTAACAGAGGTATATTTTGGGTGATTAACTGCTTATATTCTGGGATAAAATAACCTAAAAGGAACCCATGAAGAACATTCTCATAACACACTGCTATTGATGGCCTTAAGACCAGGTTTGAAATAATTGAAAACTGAATTAAACAAGGCAAAGTGAAAATGAGTTTAGATAAATGTACTATGTTCATAAATATAACATATTCATAATATTGCTTTCTTTGTTTTTTGCAGATCTTGAGGCAGTTCATTCAGAATTGCTTAAATGAGCTGAGCAGGACAGGATTTTTGTCCATTGCATTCCCTGCCATAGGCACAGGGAACTTGGGCTTTCCAAAAGATCTTGTTGCCAAAGCCATGTTTGAAGAAATCAAGAATTTTAGTAGTGCTAATTCTCACACAAGCCTGAAAGATGTACTCTTTGTGATTTATGAGAAAGATTTTCCTCTTATTAAAGTAAGCATATATGAACTTTTACTGTATGAAATACTAATGATGTCATCTGGTGATGTACATGTATTATTACACTATTTGAAAATAATCATGTAGCCAACTATAATAATTATCTTGACTTTTCTGCTTATTTCTACATGTGTAAAGGAAGATGATGAAAAGAAATTTGGTTGAATTTTTATAAATTGTTAAATTATTGCATGGAAGTATACTTCCATGGTTATAGATGACTGAAAACTTTAATTGGGTCTTGAAGAGAAATTTATTCTTAGGACCAGACAGCAAGATAACTTTGTCCTTGCTGTTTGTAGATTTATCTAACCTTTGGCATACATAATGAAGACTTACATTTGATCGACAGTATTTTTCCCACTAGCTTGCTTGTTCATGAAGGTGACATTTTTTAGAACATGGTATGTAATTTTCTGCAGTTATGTGAACAGTGATGGCAGATCTGTTTATCTCAGTCTGCTGTAAGTGAGTAAAAAAAATTGAATGGGCATGCCATCAAGCCTAGAGAGGGTTGGGCAAAATTGAACTGAAAAGTCATTCATATTGCTACTATTTCTGAATTTATTTTAGGCTTTTGAGGATGAACTTCAGCGTGTGCAAGGCAAAGGAGGGATGGGAGCAAAACCTAAAAGAAAAAGAAAGAGCAAGGCAGGAACTTCTGAAGGTGGTAGGTATATCTGCTTTTTGAAAATGTTTCATTGAGGATTTGTTTGCTTTAATAAACAAAGAATCGTAATCTACCGTATGCACATCTTTTATTGAATGTGTTTATTGGGGATTTCTAATTAGGTTTAGAAAAAAAAAAAAGGTGGATTGGTAAACCCTAGTTTGATGTGGGTTGCCATGTTTTTAGCAGAGAGAGATAGCTGAATGCGCAACTTGATGTGAGAATGCTATGTTCTTGGTTGCTTTGTTACAGGTGGCTCCCTCTATACCAACCTGACAAGCCACACTCCTGGGGGTTACCAAATGAAGATTGGCAAGATTTGTGTTCAAATCCAGAAAGATGATATTACCAAAGAAAATGTGGGAGCAATAGTTAACAGTTCAAATCCCACTCTGGACTTGTCAATGGGTAAATGTATTTTGTTTAAGCTTGTCTTGTATGAAGTTAAATATTATGATGGTTAAGGCACTGAAGTTTCTTTATTTAACAAAAAAAAAAATTTTTTTTAATGAAGGAAAAAGCATTCACTAGGCCACCAAAATATATGGAATATTGTTCATGCCACGCAGCTATACTTTTTTATCTTTAAATACAGCAATGACTGTGTGCATAGAAATGAAAGTTTCTTAACCTGTCTGAATGCTTAACACAGGTGGTGTGTCCAAGGCAATTGTTAACAGTGGAGGGAGTGCTATCCTGGATGAATGTAGAAAGAAGGGTGAGAATAAACAGCATTCATATTTTTAACATCAACTTAAATTGTAAATATTCTTGGAGGCTTGGCATTGTCAGAAAATATAAGATACATAATAATATTGGGAAAGTGTGAAAAAAAGATTTTATTTTTTGTATGCATTTCTTCTACAGATATTTATTGATGTTTGAAATATCCATTTTCTAAGATAAAAGGCAATTTTGGAGAAAAAAAATTAAAATAACTTATTTACATACCTGGAACTTGATTTTACATTTTAACTTTTTTTCAGTGTAAATTTTGTAGTTTACGGTAAAGTCTTGAAAATTTCGTCGCTTAAAAATTAATTAATATTTTTAATTGTGTAAATCCGACTAATTTTTCAAAATCACCTCTCCCCGATTCCTGGGTATGACGAAATTTTCAAAAATCCGGCCTTTGGGCTTTTATCCTTAGCGACTGTTATCTTTGACCTTCCTATATGGTGGGATATTTATTACTACTTCCTAAGTCATTTTCTGGTGGTAAATAATAATCTATTTATTATTGCATCTCGATTAAGTTATATTTAACTTACTGTACCCGAAAACATGTTGAGAATTATTTTCTCGGTAAGAAACATACCTCCTGATAGAGGAGAAGGATCAAGATAAGCCTAATGCAACCTTGCATCATAACCCTGGACACGACATGTTAAAAAAAATTACGCACTTGGGAACGTTTGTTGCATGCAGGGCTTTTCCCAGGATTGAGTGTCAGGCCTTCTAAAATTACCATCTGTAACTTCCTAAAAATTTACAGGGAGTTAAAATAATGATCTCCCGTTGACGATCTTCCGCAATTTAAGTTCCTTGAACTAATATGAAAACTGCATTTTTTTATTGCTTAGCCTACATCGCGAACAATCTCCCGATGAAGATGTGAAAATTGCCTGTTCGTCTAGCAAGGATCGCGAACGATCTCCCGCTGACGATCTTCCGCGAACGAAGTTCCCTAAATCCCTTGAACTAATATGAAAATTGCATTTCATTCTTGCTTACATCGCGGACGATCTCCCAATGATGATATGAAAATTGCCTTTTCGTCTCGCTCGGATCGCGAACGATCTCCCTCTGACGATTTTACGCGAACAAAGTCCTGACGATAGTACGCAAACGATTCTCCGCCGAAGATATGC